CGCACCCCCTTTTCGGGGGAGTTTTGGGGGGGGGGGGAAGAGGGGGAGGAGAAAGCCAAGAGGATTTGGAACCAAGAAACTTACATTCTAGTTGCCTTGTTTGAGGCCTTGGATCAGCCACATAACTTTTCCTGGCTTGAAGGAGTTGGACTTGCTTTTAAAAATCCCCCAAAGCGAAATCTTCTGTGCTTGTACCCCAATGCTATTTATAGATTTCTAAACAAGGATAGATAAAACTTGTTTAATAAAGAGAATGATTAAAATTTCGGCTGGTCTTTTTCAATGTAGACTTGTTCTCAAATCTCAATTAAATCAAACATAACTACCAGTAAAAAAACAGATTGAATTCACCACAGTTTCTCTTTGTAGGTCTGAATTTCTCAGTATAGAAACAAATTTAGACTTGACATTACTTGTTGCCATCCATGCCCAGCTAAGCCTGAATTCTAGCCAGAGGCACAAGATTCAGTCTAAGCCAGATAAGGAATTAAGTCCAGTAACTGGCAATTATTTTTAACTGAGAGAGAAGAAGCAAGCAGCATATGATTAACAGAGAATTCAGATATTTTATAAATCCTTTCCGGTAAATCTGACTTATAATCCAGTAAACTGTGTCAAGAGTCACAGCATAGGCCATAAACATATTCCTAACATGCCAGGTAAACCCAAGACTCACTTCTGACACCCCCACTCTCTAATTCCCACAGGAGATGCTGAGCATAAGCCATATATCTGTGGGGATGCAGATTCTGCCTCTACTGTTTTGGATGGGACCGAAGACTACCTCATTCTGGCCTGTGATGGCTTCTATGACACCGTGAACCCTGATGAAGCAGTGAAAGTTGTGTCCGACCATTTGAAAGAAAATAATGGAGACAGCAGCATGGTTGCCCACAAATTAGTGGCATCAGCTCGTGATGCTGGGTCAAGTGATAACATCACTGTTATTGTGGTATTCCTGAGGGACATGAACAAAGCTGTAAATGTTAGGGAGGAATCAGATTGGACAGAGAACTCTTTTCAAGGAGGGCAAGAAGATGGTGGGGATGATAAGGAGAATCATGGAGAGTGCAAACGCCCGTGGCCTCAGCACCAGTGTTCAGCACCGGCCGATCTAGGCTATGATGGGCGTGTGGATTCATTCACTGATAGAACTAGCCTGAGCCCAGGGTCCCAAATCAACGTGCTGGAAGACCCAGGCTACCTAGATCTCACACGAATAGAAGCACCTTACAGTCCCCCGTTTTTGCCACCAGTTGAGATGTTCTGTCCTGGTGCACCAAAGAAAGCAAATCTTATTAGTGAGCTAATAATGGAGAAAAAATCAGTTCAGTCATCGTTGCCTGAATGGAGTGGTGCTGGAGAGTTTCCTGCTTTTAATTCAGGTTCAACAGGGCAGCAGGTATACAGAATGGAGAGCTTATCTCCTGTCTGTTCTGGTTTGGAAAATGAACAGTACAAGTCCCTGGGAAACAGAGTTTCTAGATTGTCTCATTTACGCCACCACTACTCAAAGAGGCGACATGGATTCAGGTTTAGTCCAAACTTTCATTCATTTCTCACTGTTCAAGAGCCTTCTCACAAAATAGGCACTAGGCTGTCCTCACTTATTCGAAGTGGGAAGAGAAATAGGATGTTAAGAAGTTCTCTGCCATGGAGACAAAATACTTGGATAGGGTACAGTGAAAACATAACGAGAAAGCTCAGAAAGAGTAATGATATCCCATACCCAGAGCTTCCTTGGAGCTATAAAATATAATTTTTCTGTGAAGTAGGTTAGCTAGCTCTCCCCCCCAATAAAACACCACTAGCAGAGTAGAAACAAGGTAGACATTTCTAACATATGTGCTCATTATGAATCCATGGATGGCTCAATTCGTAAATGTAAATAAGTCTCTAGGAAACTCAACATACAGTGTTTTCAATCTAAAAAAAAAAGTATTGGCGGTTTCACTAGCAAAATTATACAACCGATCTCTGTGATGTGTCTCCACACCTACATACGACCCCCTCCCACCTCCCTTCATGTCACTAGTGGAAGCTTGTGAGTTAAGTTGTTTCAGTCAGGACATATAGTATTGAAATATCGACAAAGTTGAAATCTGGTCTGATGTGCCTAATATATCTTGGAGAAATTAATGCAGAATCTAATTGGGAAATGTTCCTCGAAATTTTGGGGACTATGAAGGAAACATTCCTCTAACTTTTCTGGATAGGTAAAAGACTTTTTAAAAGCCATATAGGTTTTTAGCTGGTAACAACGAACATAGAAAACTAGTGGAAAAGTGTTAATATGCTCAGACTTAGGAGGCAGTATATAGTCAAAAAGATTTACTTTTTTTTTCCTGTAACATAAAAAACTATGAACATTTTTTGAATTGAAAAATATTTTCTAGGGCTATAGTTACTTGGGAGTTTCATAACCTGTTATGGTGCTTTTGATGGAATTTTTTTTTATCATTTGTCATTTTAGGAAACAATTGTCAACTGGTTTTATGATGTGTTTTTCACTGTACCTTCATCTCAGGAATAAAACTGGTTTAATGGAGATGATATCAGGTACAAATGCACTCAAATCAAAATGCCATTTAAAAGAAAATCAAATCCAATTTTATATTTTTTGCCTTTCAGTTTACAGATAGCAAAGGTGTGTGTTACTATAAAATAAAAAGTGGTTTGGAGAATTAAATATGCTAGTTTTAACTTCTCTAAAATGGCTTCCCCTAAGGGAATGAAGAAATTGATATAAAGCAGGCTGAATGTACTGCCTGAAGAGCGCCCAGAGGCCAGGTGCAAAGGAGAAGCAGAGCAGTGAGAACCAGGTCTGTTTCGTTACAACTGGGGGGCATGCCAGAGTGCTGCTAGGTACAGCTGCAGACTGCACACAAACGTGCTTCTCATTTCATTATTTATACCTGATATTTAAATGGTCTGCTTTTTGCTGTTTCTGCAGTTTCGAACGAGAAGCATACTTTCTACTAAAGATAGCAAATAAATTACAAGATTCATTTAATGAAGCAGCCTGATTCTCTGAGAATCATGAAGGTCTCTGTGTTACGCCCCCCCTTGTCAACCGCAGACCAACCAGGTCGAGGGAAAGGAGTAGCCCCCTTGCAGTGAGCAGTCACTCACAGTGTTAGGATGCACTCCCTTAGGATGGCTGAGGGAGGTCCACTGCCAAATCATGTTTTTACACGATTACTCAACTACTTTGTTCCCGAGACCCACAGTGGAGAACTAAAATTCATTTCTAAAAACATAGATGAAGGCAGCATATTTGGGGTATCAGTCTAACTACATAAAAAAAAATGTGCTTTCACAGTGATCAGATTGTTCATCTACAGATTTTATTTTTAAAAATCTGGATGTAAGTAGAGAATTTCAGTATTTGTTTTCTCTTGATTTTTGAAGTCATTTCTTCTTTACTCAAGTTTTGTGACACGTGGTTGAAAAGGAGTAAACATGGCTCCAATTATAGTACTAGAATCTTTTCCTTCAGATGATTTGTCCCCATACACGGACCTCACGCACACATGTCATTTTCTGAAGCCTAGATCTTGTTACCAACCCATCAGGTGCGGTGTCAGTTTCAAACCAAATTATCTAAGGAAATAAGAAAACAGAGGCAGCAGAATATTGGTACACATTATAGTCCAAAGCGTTTAGCTAAGACAAAACAAAAATGTTTATAGTTGTCTACTGGTCATGTTTTTGATCAGAAGAAAGAAGGTGGAAAGGAAAGAAGTTACAAGTAATAGACTTCTTCAATGGGGGAAACATGGTTGGATCCAACTAAAGCAAACAGACCCATCTTTAAGGGTCTGGATTTGGTAGGTCTAACTACATAGCAGTGTTAACTCCATTTCTCATACCATTAGCTCTCTAGAAAATAAAGAAAAGTAGTTCTAGTGTGGTCAAGTTACAAACCAGTATTGTAAAAAAATAGCAACTATTCACTTGTTCACAACATGCACATTTAGAATAGTTAGGTGCCATTTATAAGGTAAGTCCTTTAAAATTCTATGATACATTATTAAAGTAGTGGTTATATGGTCTGATATATGCTGCTCTTGGTTCTATAAACTAGATAAAAAGCAGTGCTTTGTGAAATGCAGTGTTATATCTTAATGCCACTGGTGATAGAAAGTAGTTCCCTTCAGTTCCTATCCTGTGCCCTTATTTGCTGCTTGCTGACGTAAGCAATAAGTAACCCTCTAACAATGGTATCTACACATTTCTGTAACTTGTATTTAATGATGGTGTATTTGGTGATTGTAAAACCATTAGACAGATGAAAAAGTATCTATATAATATATATTAACTGTTAATGCTGAGGTATAGTCTGTGAATCATGTGTTTGTACCTTTATTCATTGTGTAACCTAGTGGTGGTAGAAGTTCTACTCAATCTTAAAGAGTGGCAGTAACCCTTTTTCAACTTAACATGATCTGCATCAATTTGTTTGCCTGCTAATACACAAGTTTTGTTAGAATAGGAAATAGTAAAAAAAATAATAATTATATACATATATATATATAAAGAAAGTGTAGTACTAGTTAGGGAAACAGACTTCACCAATTGAAGTCACTACAAACTCCTTGTACATTCACTGTGAATTTCAAAGGGAGTCAGTCCCTAATTTAAAGGTTTCCTTTTTTCACTTTCTAAATGTGTACTTTTGAGGACTATCTGAGGGTAGGCAACATCGCAGAACCAAACATTGGGGCTATCAATCCCACTTAGGTCTGTACTAACGGGGATGGTAGAAACACATGTGTATATCTTTTCTTTACCTAGAAGTGCCATCCATTGTCCTTGAATTAATATGATTAAAGTTACTGTTGCATTTAATTTAACTTGGAGGCTCCTAGAAAGTAACATCTTTTCCAAGGACAATGTCAACAGCCAGTCTCAATCTGACCACATTTATAGTGGTATAGTGTCAACACTGCATTTTCATCACCACACTCCACTCCATTTTTGGAACACTGTGCCGGTTACCAGTGCAACATCCGATGGGCAGATGCAAAAGACGCACAAGTTCAGTGTTTGTAGAAAAAACTGTGGTGGTTCAGGCGATTCCTTCCCCATCAAAGGCTTGCTAAGGCTTTGTGAGAAACTAATAGAAGTTATCACTTTAATTTCAAAACTTAGTTTGTTTACTCAATGAGCATTCTCACGAAAGCCAGGCCATAAAACATACTATAGTTTCATTCACCTCTTAATTTGATCATCCCTTAGTTTGTGATCTTGGGATCACAAAGTGGTAAGAAGAGGAACTTATTTTTTTTCACCATTGAAAAATATGTGGTATTACGGGAAAATGCCCATACTTTTCTGTTCTGACCTCTGAATAGTTTAAATGTCTTTTTTTGAAAACAAAGATACTGCCAGTATTACAATATAACTGTTTTCCAGACAAGTGGTACTGTGTTGAAAAATGTTACTTCCTCTAGCAGCATTTTATCTTGTATTTTGAAGACTTTATGATACCAGTAAGAAAATACAAAATAAAATAGGGCATTCTAGATTGACAAAGCAGTTGTTTTCAAAAAGGAAAAACTCTAATCAACTTTGATGTATTAGATAATCCATAGATACATCACTGTAAACTTTTACTCTAGGTGCTCTTCCGTGAGAGACAGCCTTTGTTCTCTTGTTCATGACATTTCTCTGCAAAGAATTCTCTATGGAGTGAAGCAAATGAAGTGAATCATTTCTTACCAAGTAAACTTGTCAATTTACAAACCTGCTCTACAGCTCACTTTTGAGTTCAGTAGTAATCATGAGTGATCCTTCATATTTTATTTATTAAAACTATTCATTCAGGTAAAGAACATGTTGAAATTTTGCCAATATCTTAATAAAACCCAGCAATTTAAAATTACTAGTCATTTGTCTTTTTATTTAAAGGAAAGCTCTATCATCTGGGCAGATGATTTCAGAGCTTGGAAACAAAATCCTTGTATAGTGGTTTTCTTAAGCTTTTTTTTTTTTTGGAGAGATTTTTGTTATAGGGTGCTGCAATCCCTTCTCCATTCTCCTCTGTTGGGATTTTGGGCACGCACACATGCACACACATCCAGTGTGAGTTTCAAGTCACTGGTCTGGGACTCGAACTACAGTAAATCATATCAGAGTCTACCACCTTAACAACTATGTCACCTACTGGCCCCCATCTTAAGCTTTTTTAACATTAAGGTGTGTGTGTGTTGGGGGAGGGGCTAGCCCTGTGGCCTGGTGGTTAAGGGAGCTGGATCCCATGTGGCCAAGTGAATGGTTCAGATCCTGGCTCCAGAGGCTTGAAGAACATGCCAAGCACATGTGCATACACGCCCAGAATACTGGCAGGATGGAGAAACAGAAGAGATGGCAGCATGACAATGCCTCAGCGGAGGTGCTTTCTCCCTCTCTCTGGCTGGTCAGTGCATATGTCCCCTTGGCAAAAATAAGAAAACTTGCTAAGTGTTGCTGTAACTATTCTTTCTCCCCACAAGAGCTGTATTTCATCTTATCCACGTTCTCCCCATTTGTTTAACTGGGAGAAGAGAAAGGTAAAGGGGTTAATATTTACAACAGAAGAGAACAACTTGCCAAGGGCTAAATTGTGACTCCTCACATCTCCCAACTTCTTCATTCTTAGATCTCTGCATCCACTCAAGTTTTTCTCCTTCACTTAAGACTGTCCCTTTTCAATATCAAAGGAAGAAAAAAATCAGGCGAGTTGTGAGTTAAGTCTTTCTGGAGGTTTGCTATTAAGTTACAGGAGACAGAGACAAAGAATGTAGGAGACAGAGATGAAGCCAATTAAGATACCTACCTCTAAGGATTAAACCTGAAAACCAAGGAACCCTACTTAATACACCACATTATCTTCCTTGCTCCTACCTCTAAGGACCTTAAAATTAACTTCACGTAATTACAACAATCCTGAACACCTAATTCTCTAAATTAAATATTTAGCATGACTTTACGTAGAAGCCAAAGAAGCAAGAAGAAAACAAGTGAAGTTTTGAAAGGATGATATATTTGAAGGAGTTTGCTAAAGCAGGAAATGATAGAAAAGGGAGATTTTTGATTAGCATTATTTATACTTGAAAAGTCCCCTAAATGGGACCAGCAGATGGCAGAATGATTACACCGTTAGACTCCCAGGGCTATTGATTTGATCACGATTTGAGTCCCCAACCTGGCGGCTTAAAACTCAACGCTGGGCACGTGTGCATGCATGCCCAAAAACCCAAGAGGAGAATGAAAAAGGGATTGTGGCGTGGCCATACACTCTGGGGGTCGATTTCTCACTTTATGGCTGTCTCTCTGGCAAGCGCACGCACCCTTTAGCAAAAATCTCTCTTAAAAAAATAAAAAGCCCTCTAAAATAGTTAATTCAAAAGAAATTTCTTTCTGAAGTACCAGCATTACAGTGAGGTGCAAGTGACCCACTATGTACAGTAAAATCATCACAACTTTAAAACATTTACCCAAGATACCAAATTATCAGGAATAATCAGATGGATTTTTTTTCCTTTTTTTTTTTTGATTGTAAGGTTGTCATCTGTCACCTTAACAGCAATTAGTAAAGAACACACCTTATGGAAGATCCTTATTTATTTATATTTCAAACAGATCAGGTTTTCTGAGACCCAAGACTATCACGTACTGTTCAATAAGAACTGCTCTTCCCTGGGTGGCTGGGCTTAGCACCCCCTGATGCTGAGCTCCAGCATGCTGCCCGTCACCGAACCTCCAGATGACATGTGCTCTGCCCTCATGGTGCAAAGAGGGGCCCTCAAACGTGGGTTCTACCTGATTTTTCTGGTCCTGCTTTAGGGAATTGGGGAAACAAATGTGAAAAATTGTCAGGAATGATAGGCACTTGGGAAAACTGTTTTTTGAAAAAGAATTATTTAACTTTATTTGTTGTTATTTTGTAATTTGACCAGAGATAAAGGGGAAAGTGAGGAAGCCAGGAGCCAGACTCTAACCGTGGTCCACCATGTGAGAGTTTTAACACCTCAACTACCACGCCACCTGCCGGTCACCGGAGGAACCATTTGCAAAACGAGCAACTGGGATTTAACCAAAGATAAGAGGTGTCTCTGCCAGTCACTATCACTGGGTAATTTGCTGGGTGACAGTGAGAGTATTGGGGTGGGCAATTAAGCCACACAGTTGCTATGGGATCAGGTTGAATTAAACTGAATGGGAGGTGAGTCTCTGAATCAGTCTTTCCTGAATTCACACTAGGACACACCAACTGCCCTGCAGTACTCAAGCTATGACTCTGCCTGGGCCAAACTCTGCAGAGCAGGAATAGCAGTGAGGATTTGCTATAAATGTGCCAGCCGGAGAAAATGGATTTTAGAAACAGCAGCTCATACAACTTGTATTCCAAACTAGAGTGGCTGATGTTACCACATTTCTCTTAGGTCTCCCCAGGCAGAGTTTTTAAATTTCTCTAAATCTAGACTGATGCCGTAGGGTGTAGAAACTAGAGGTAGTATGAGGGGAAATTAAAAATATCACCACGTAAAGACTAAAATGAATATGCAAAAAAGAAAATGGAGATTGCCATTTTACAAACTTTCTGTAACATTACCTCTATAATTTAAAACAATTTTAAAAACTGGGCCAGCTGGTGGCATAGTGTTTAAGGAGGCTGGATTCCACATGGCTGGATGTGCTGTTTGAATTGTGGACCTGGCGGCTAGAAAAACATGCTGACTGCATATGCATACATGACCACAATCCCGAAAGGGAGGAGAAATGGGAGAAGAGGCTGCAGTGTGACCTCCCCCGTGGGGTGGTGCTTTCTCACTGGCTCTCTCCATCCCCCCAAGTGAGCATGCACACGTTCTGGCAAATCAAAAATTAAAAACTGGGTAAAAAATTAAAAAGCATTCTTTTCTGAATTGTGTTTTTAAAATTACACTCATTTTAAAAAATTCAACAAAATGTGTGTTTTATGTATTTTTTTTAATCGCAATTTAACATTGCTTTCACTCTCATAATGAAAAAGAGCGAGACTAACTATAAATGATGACTTTGTCTAAACCCCTTTGAAAACTGAGGTTGCAGAGTAACCCACTGGGCCAGAATCCAGAGAGAAGCCTGCAAGGGACCAGGAGACACCAGCACTAGTTCATGTGGGTGGCTGTAGGCAGACACTGGAAGAGCAGTTTAGCTGAAGTGGTAATGGTGGGCCAGCAGGTAGCATGGAGATTGGCATGGCCAGGTCCCACAGGACTAACTGTGCAATTCAAGTCCCAGTGGCTTGAAAAACATGATGGGCACGTGTATGTGTATGTGCATGCCCAAAATCTTTTTTTTTTCTTTTTTTGGAGAGGTTTTTGCTATAGGGCATGTGCGCTTGCCAGACAGACAGAGAGAGACAGAGAGATAGAAAGCAAGAAATCACCCCCCAGAAGGGATGGCCATGCAGCAATCCCTTCTCCTCTCAGGATCTTGGGCACGCACGCATAAGCGCCCGGTGTGAGTTTAAGCCACCAGGTCCAGGACTTGAACCGCGGTCGACTACGTGGGAGTCCAGCGACATAGCCATTACGCTAACTGCTGGTCCATGCCCAAAATCTTGAGAGGAGAATGAATGGATAAGGGGTTGTGGCATGACCATCACTCTGGGGCGTGATTTCTCACATTCTATGTCTCTGGCAAGCACGTTCCCCATCGCAAACTAAAAGTAAATGGTAACTAGCAAAGGCAATATATAGCCTGGCAAGGGAACCAGCAGTTAGCGTAATGGCTATGTCGCTGGACTCCCATGTAGTCGACCGCGGTTCGCGTCCTGGACCCGGTGGCTTAAAACTCACGCCGGGCGCGTGTGCGTGCGTGCCCAAGATCCAGAGAGGAGAATGGAGAAGGGATTGTGGTGTGACCATCCCCTCTGGCGGGTGATTTCTCGCTTTCTGTCTCTCTGTCTCTCTCTGTCTGTCCGGCGAGCGCACGCGCCCTATAGCGAAAACCTCTCCAAAAAAAAAAATAAATAAATATATAGCCTGGCAATACAGTGTGAAGTACTGAGAGGCCCTAGAAACTGGAGGACTCCAATCAGTGTTGCAGATTTTTTTCTTCTCAGAAAAGACTGGAATAAGCCCTAAAAATCAACTGTGGTGTAGAGAGAGGAGAGGGATTACAACAGCCTTGTGGGAACCTTTCCCTCTGACTCTTCTACAGAACAGAAGTGTTATTCTATGGGGGAAAGGGCCACAGATACTATTAGGGGACTGGTAAAAAGTCACCGCAGCCAGGGTAGGCAATAGGGAAGAAAAACCCACTTCTGAGGAAGGAGCGGGAAAATCATTGGGTCTACAACTAGCTGGGAAGGGGCAAGTCAACTGAGAAAGTCACACCACCCTCGAGACCTGGGGACTCAATGCCTAAAACCACAGCTTACTCCAAGAACGTGAGCCCCTTCCTAGCCTCTATCTTACTTCAAATAACAGTAGAATATTTCTGAGAGAATGATGAAAACAAAAATCTTGCAGAAAGAGACCCCTGTCTAAGCCCAAGTCCAGAGAGAAACTGTAATTTAAGGTCAGAAAAGAACTGCTCTGGCCATCCTACCCATTAGAAATACAATGTATTGGGACTGACAGGTGGCGTGGTGGTTAAAGGTACTGGACTCCTGCATGGCTGACCATGGTTCGAGTCCCAGACCTGGCAGCTTGCTTTCTCATTCTCTCTCTCTCTCTCTGTGTCCCTCACTGGTCAAATTAAAACAAACAAATCAAGTTAAATACAATAATTCTTTAAAAAAAAAAAAGAAAGAAATACAATGTATCACTATAAAAATTTGAAACCACTGAGGTTAAACATAGCAAAAGAGAACCTTGAACCAAATAACTCACAACTAGATAAATTCAATTT